GCTTCAGAGGGGATGTAGAAGTTTGCTTCCTCTGTTATCACCTCCTTAAAGAAGCTACTCTATTTCCTGGTCTTGCATGGGAGCTGTGCATTCCCAGGAAAAATATATTTGTGGAAACACAAATAAGGTGCAATAGGTTCATTGTACGTTGCTGCTATCTTCTCAAATGTGTGTTTTCCTGAGAATGCACAGCTACCAATAGAAGCTTAAAAAATGACCTGGCTTCCTTAAGGAAGTGCCAACAGCTGCAGGAAGCGTGTCCATGTCTCTTCCAAAATTTCTCGTTCCATATGCTCCATCAACTGGGACTTCTGCACTATTTGCTTGTTGGTGTGGCTTTCCTTAGGGCTGCAGGTTTTATACAGAATATGCAAACCAAAGCAGAATTTTGGATCTTTAAACTCATTTATAAACCTAGAAACATCTCATGGAAATGGATCCTAAAACTAATTGAAACCATTGCAGCGGGACGTGCTTGCAACAGATACCTCCAGTGGTTTAAATGGTTTCTTATATGCATTTGTTGATAATGCTATTTATTGGACATGTGTTCTAGAACTGATTGTGTTATATTATTTTTGTATTTTTAAACATAGGCAGGGTAAAATAAAGTGAGCAAAAGAAGTCCCTTTTTTGCTGTTATATGCCCTTGCGTATTTCAGTGCCTTGCTGCCTTTCTAGATTTGAGCATTTATGCCAAATTGATACCACTGGTAGGGTTTGGCTTGTCCATCTGGAACAGAAGATGCCCTTTTATGGTATTTTGGTTAGTCCTAATAAAGGTACTGCCTTGTGGATTTTGGGTGAAATATGTGTGATAGATGAATGGGATGAGAATTTATGGCAAGGGTACAACACTTTCTACTATATATGCTGGAAGCACATTCATTGTTCAGATTGAATTCCATGGTGGCATGAACTCTAGAAGTGGGAAACACCTATTTTCATGAATGTGTTTATTCAAAATGATGTGATCAGACACATGACAGGTCTTCCTCATTCTGCCCTGCAGGAAGTTGATCAAGCCCAAAAATATAAGCAAAAATCACATTCCAGGAAAAATAATCACATTTTCCTGACTGTCTTGTATAGGAAGGGAAAACTCCGATGGATCTTGTTCTACAGTGGCAAAATGGCACCAAGGAAATTTTCAACAACCTGAAGGAGAATGCTTATAAGAATTCTCCCATAGATACGTTCTGAAAACCAGATTCAAGGCTTCAGTGAATGACAAGTTTCTTTGCAAATGGCACAATTACCAGCATAAAGAACAGCGTGAAGAACAGTTCCATGATAAGTGATGCCATCTTCGCCTCATCAAGCAAGTGGTTTATTGCCTTTGTTAAGCCACATGGAATAAGTCTGAGGACAAAATATTCAAAGGCATAGCTTGAGTGTTACAATTCCACTGATTTCAAGTTGTTTTATTTATTCCTATTTATATCTTGTATTCCATTCTTCCCTCTTCCTTGGATAAAGTTTCTTTAGCTATTGTTTCTCTGCTGATCTTTCAAAAAGTCATGTTGATGCTACAGTTGTAGAGGGTTGCTGATGTGATAATCAGCCAGGAGCATTTATTCAAGACAATCACATTTCAGAATGTATTAGCAGCTTCCCAACAAGCTTCTCTCCCCCCAACTTAACCCCAACATAATTAATTTTTAAATGTCACCCAACATTTCTGCTGAATTGCTATTATCAGAGTAAACTGTTAAAGGAAAAGAATGGGTCTGGAGAACAGATGTATGGAAAGCAATGAAATTACAAAGGAATAGTGGTAGTAGAATTAAAAAGGAACAGATCTGCTTTTTTAGTAAAGTTGATTAAGAAGGTTAGACCAGTTTTTACCCAAAATAGTGGAAACTGAACTACAAAGTTCAAAGCGGAAAGTTACACAGAGGAAAGTGTTGAAGTGAAATTAGAGAAAATGCAGTTCTATTTTCAATGCTCGGTAATGGAAGAAAAGTTCTGTATATTTGTATGGCTTTTTATGTACATTTTGTATTAAATTCTCTTTAAGATTTAAATAAGAGAATGGCTTCTTTTTTTCTGCCTTGATATTTTTCTTCTTTGTTCGAAGATCTGGGGTGGAATAGATAGAAGACACGTTCCATCAACTAAAAAAGAAAATGTTTGCCAATTCTCAGTATAAGTGTTGAAGATTATAAACTGTTAAGCTATGAAAAATCTTTACTGGTTACCTTCTGAAATCAGCTGGCCAATACTCAAATTATTGGCACCGACTGGATCAATACTTTGCACTAAATCATGATACCATTTGTTTGGCTTTGGCTTAGTATTTTGGGTAAATTGTGGGTTTTATACCATAGTTACTGGCTTAAGAAGGTTACATGAACAAAGCCAATGGTGATGCATTCAATAATTGAAGTTTAAACAAATCATGGCTTGCCACCATGGTAAGCTACTAAAGACCATTGAATCTGCATTTGTGTCCTTCCTTCCCTCTGTAATTATGAGTAGTGAAAACTGGCAGCAGTTCTGAATGGGTGCTGAGTGTAAGCAGACTGAATACAAGCTGAGTGATCAGTAACCAGTGGAAAGCAGTACGTTGAGGTGGTTTGGCCACATAGAGGGAAGAAATGAGGATCACACGGCATTTGAATGAATGAGTAGGTTGAGATGAAGACCAAGAAAGTTGCAGTTGTATGGAGTAGATGAGATCCTCAAAAAGAGAGAAATGAGAAGAACAAAAGGCGACGTACGGTGCACTGTATGAACATGGTGGAAGGATGGTTTGCAATGACAGAAATGTACAGAGGTATAATGAATGGTGTTGGTAGAAACTAGACATAGTTAGATTTCCTTTTCTTTTATCTCATGTTGTTTCTTTGGCTATTCTAACTCTTCAGCACTTTATGTAACATAGCTTATCCCAAAAGAAAATAGCACAACAGGTGTGTCATTGCATGGATGTAGAGGCAAGGCCTGCTTAAAGTGACATGGACTAACTTCAACATTTACCTGAAATATTTTGGAAGAAGGAAACCTGAAGTCAGGTTGCAAGCCACTTGGCCAATATCATCATTACTGCTGATGGATTGCTGGTTTCAGGGCTAAACCCAACCAGTGGCCTCAAATTGGCAAACCTGGACCCTGAACGACTGCTTCACACTCTCCAAGTCTTCCCAAGCTTATCATCAGGATCTAATTTCATGTGACAAAAGCACAACCCTTGCGCTATATGTAGAAAATGTATGATGTTCTGAACAGGTACAGAGCAGAAAGCTGAAGGAGCAATTTAGAGCAGAGAAGCCGCAGGAGGTCCCGGAGTGCTGAATCCTCTCCCCCGCTCCGGTCTCCTGATATGCTTCACTTCTCATTCTGGATATCTGGATAATAGTATCTTCCTTCCACCTACCAACTTTTAACTCACACTTGAGATCCGTTGTATATACTGCATTCTTGAATACAGAGCTGCCACTATGATACATAGTTAAGATTCTCTATTATTATTTTTTATCTCACCTTTATTACTTTAAATGACTCAAGGTGGTGAACATACCTAATGCTTCTTCCTCCTCCTATTTTCCCCACAACCACCACCCTGCGAGATTATTTGGGCTGAGAGAGAGGGACCGGCCCAAAGTCACCCAGGCAGCTTTCATGCCTAAGGCAGGACTAGAACTCAGTCTCCTGCTTTCATTTAGTGTAACATTTTAGGAGATTCCAGAACACCTTTTTATTGTCATTTTGCCAGGAGGTGATAAAGCCATTACAATAGGTGTTGGAGATGGAAAGGAAGAATGATACATAATATAACAAACATTCCTAAGATGAGATGGAAATGGGAAAGCAAGTCTTAGAAACATGTATAGGACTATTATTTTATTTGTGTTTATCACCTTGTTTGAGACAAACACTTATTGCCTCTGACCCCACCTCCTGGTCTTGTCTCATATTACAGCTGGCAAGGCATGGTTACTGCTAATTCCTGCATAGTACACTACTTCTAGTTAAACAGCACAAAAGATCTAGATGTTCCACTACTATAGCTATGAGTAAGGCACTGGTAGAAATGGCTCATAGCTAAGGCTGCAGTTTCTTCAGATGGTTACAAACAGCAGGTTGCGATAACTCTGTAC